AATCAGGCCATGGGGGGGGGAGCAGTTAGGGCGACCAGGCAGGTAGCAGGTGAGTGATTAGGAGCCAGTGGTCCAGGATTCTGAGAGGGATGTCCCGGATTGGAGAAAGGTGCAAGGCTGGGTGAGGGGATTCCCCCCCCCCCCATGCACAAATTTCATGCACCAGTCCTCTAGTTAAAAGATAAAAAGAAAACCCCCAGAAAGAGAAAATATTTGTAGATCACATATATGATAAAAGAATATATAAAACATGTAAAAAACTCTCAACTTGACAATAAGGAAATTCTATTAACGCATTGAAAGCGGGAAACGTATTTATACATTTTAGTTATACATTTAAGTTGACTGGTAGTAGATTGCGGGCGATAAAAACTACCCGCAAACAATGTGTTAAAATAGGCAAAAAATATGAACAGACACCTTATCAAGGAAGTTATATAGATGGCAAATAAGAACAAGAAAATATATTCAGCATCATTATCCAATGAGAAAATGCAAAGTAATACCCAAATAAGGTAATACTATTAATACAGAAAAATAACAAAGCAACAAGACCCTGGCTGTATCAGGCTCTGGAGAGGATGCAGAGGACTGGAGCTCTCACGCTGCTGGGGGTGAGGCAACGAAAACTGGGCAGCCACTGAGGACAAGAGCGTGGCAGTTTCTCATGAACTTGATCGTTCACTTGCCCACTTGCTGTATGACATAACAATCCTACTATGGGAAAATAAAGATTTATATCTACAAACACACATAAAACCTCATGAAGGTTTGTAGCAACTTTGTTTGTGGTAACAAAAAGCTGGAAATAGCCCAAATGCCCTTTAACAGATAAATAGCAATAAATAGGAAGAGACTACCAAGACATGCTACAAAAAACACTCCTATGCTTAGTGAGAAAAGTCTACCTCGAAAGGTTACATAAACTAGTGAATGATTCAATTTATACGAGATCCTGGGAAAGCAAAACTATACGGATGTAAAACAGCAGCAGGCGACAGATTGGAGTGGGGAGGGTTTGAGTCCAGTGAATTTTTTAAGGTAATGGATTCATATACTGTTTGTGTTAGTGTATTTTAAAACTCACAGAACTATACAGAAATAAAGTGAAGTTTACTTTATGTAAATTTGAAAAGTAAAAAAACTTCTAGAACTGAGATCCTAGAAAACAATATCATGTGTGTCAAGAAGGGAGAATGATTGGAATAAAGAATTCTAAGCTCCTAACATTGGCTGTTAGAGGGAGTTTAAGTAATAATTTAGATATTGTTAGGCCAAAACATGATAAATGTTTCAAGGGT